TCTTTAACGCGCAAACACGCCTACGTGTAAGTATTGTGTTCATTTGAAAAGTAGTCGTATTTGATTAGGTAATAGCCCATTTGAATTGGCTATCATGTAATGAAAAAGCTCTCGCGTATCAAACGACTCGCAACTAAAAACGTCCTTCGTTATTAACGCGGTCCATTCAAAATCCGAGTCACGTACACATCATTGATGTTCGAGATATTTTCCTTGTAATTAACAATCAAATTACTTTTGTACATTAGTCCAAGGTAGCAAAACGTACTATAGTTTGTCGTGTGCGAAAACCCGCACAAAATGACACAGGCGAATTTCATGTACAAGTACGCATGTACTGCAGTAAAATTGGAAGTGTAAATTGGTACAAACCTTCATTAGGGAAGGGATGCACGTAATTATAATGAAACAAAAGTGGAACACCAGTTTCGAGTGCATCGCGGGAGCAAGCAATTATTGACGCGCGAAGAAGGACGAGAGGGTGGGAAATACACGTATTTTCATCGTTTAATATGTAAACGAGCGATCGATAAAATACGCCTGTGCGGTCCGTGCAGCGGGTGTATGGTTGAGTTTTCAGTGCAACGACCGTCCGAGGGGACACGGTTAATATAAAAAAACTCGTGTGTACAAGGGTTTTACGCGCATGTTTTACGATTCTGCACCCGTTCGGCTAAATAAAACTTCGTTACCTAGTCAGGATGGGGAGAGGGGGAAAATCGACATACCAAAGAGCCGAATGTAAATTCAAAAAACTCCTCTTTTGTCCGGATACTGTGCGAGTTGAAACAATTTTTTCTTATTATGTGTGAATCGCGAGTTGGGAAAGCTATATACAGAGCACATTTTTTTTTTTTTTATCTTTGATGTATATTCGCCAGCGTGAAAAAACGACGCGACAGCAAGTGTATACACGTTGTAACATACGAAAAAAGATTATCAGGATAAAAAAAGAAAAGAAGAGAAAAAGTGATGGGAGGAGCAGCACCACGAAGCGATAAAGTGAAAAAACTCTGGAGCAAGTATACCGTATACTTATAACCTTGTGCAGCGATCGGGAAGCCCTTCTCTCTCTGTATCTTATCGAAAAGCATTTCCCAGCGTAAGAGAGAGGGCCACGAGGGAGGGAGAGTTAACGTTCCATCGAGGCTGCAGCACCTATAGTCTAGTAAATCACTGTCTTTTGACCTCCGCCCTTCGTCTTATGTATACACATGATGCAACGGGGCACGACGCGCGGGAAGCGACACACATAAGATATCCGATAAGAGGGTGCGCGCTCTGTACAGCTCTGCCCTCATTTACCGTGAACGAGTAGATAATGTGCACCCAACTCCCGGGAGATGTATACAAATACATATATGTATTTTTTTTTTTGGGGATGTGTGTGCGCTGTATCACCGGCTTATAATATCCCTCGGTGTGGAAGACGTTCCGTGGAGACATCGACAAGAGGAGGAGGGAATATGACGCGTAAACCGCATCTGTCTTGCATCTCAAAGCCCCGCTGCTCACTAATTTATGAAGGATTGTCATGCTGAAACTAATTTTTTTTTCTTTAGGGTGTTGTCTCGAAATCTTTGAAAGAAAAGGGATATCTTAAAGTTCCCTATTTCGTGGAGGAATTAAAAATTGTTTGAGTTGCGGTGTACAAAAATATGCGTGTATTTTAAGGGCCGTTGAATCATAAATTAACCAGCAATCGACACAAATCAAGTCAGTGATGAAAAAAAAAAAAAAAAAAAAAGATTACGGTGGGTGAGTCGGAAATCATACAAAACATAATGTTATACGTTTCGAGGCATCACCAGCTAGGCGTTACTTTTTTGTCCCCCTCCAGAGAAATCAGAAGTTCCACCTGTATACATATACACATCCGTCTCTTCGGCTCGAGAGGAAGAAGGGAGGGGGGGGGAGCCCTTGCATTTTTAATCGACGCCTGAACGAGGAACGAGCTTTCCTCGAGAAAAGCTCCCAGGCGGCTCGACGCCCCTACACTCGGCATTTAAATTATTTAAAGCCCGAAACCGTCCGAGCGCTACGCTATTCTTTTTTTCTTTTCTTTGTGTCCCATCCTCCTGTCCTTACTTCGTCTGCTCGCCCACTTCTTCCTCTTTTTGTATTTTTAAGGTCTTGCGCCGAGCTTTTCCGCCCCACTTGACAGGAGTATCGGCTTTTCGTTTTACTTTGTTTTCCTCCACAGTTCAGGGATGAGCTTTCCTTTGGGCCGTGGGGCGTAAGCTGCCCCTTTTTTTTCATTTCATCCTCCCGGGGCTGCGCGAACGGTGTACCCCGTTGTTGTTGTTGTTTTTGCAGCGTCAAACTTTCGAGCTGCTCGCTCCTTGATACGATCCAGAAAGAAAACGTACGAGTGAAAACACGGCAGCTTCGTTTTGCATTATATTTTCCCCCCTCAACACCCACACGATCGCATACACGGAAACAGCAGACCTCGAGTGTTTACGTATATAATATACGACAAAAGGCGCACGTGTACGCATATATAGGTACGAATCATTAACGGTAAATTATTTATACATATTCACCTCGTTTATTCATACATTTAAAAGCCCATCAAACGTCACGCAATATCGAGAGACACGCGTAAAACGTTACATTATACGTTACAATGATCCATATTATGTATATGTATATACCTATTTATATACATCATACTTTTTGCACGAGTCAGCGTTGTCACGCACAATCGAGTCGCTGTACGGAGCACGTCATTTGAGTAATCAAAGAAGGAAGAACATATCATAACTTTACTTTCGTTTGGATACAACGAACGTTTCAATCGTCACGGTTATCGTGGTACTTTGTATACACCGCCCCACTGCAGAAGGAAGGAAAAAAAAAAAAAAGCTCGGTGCCACCTAACATCCGAAAGCTCTGCTCATCGGGAGTGCGAAGAAAAAAAAGGCACCCCACTGCTCACACACGCGCAGCGTCGTTAGTTAAAACAGCTGATTCGAAAAGAGGGTTAAGTGCTCGACTCCTCTCCACCCCCTTTTGACGGGACATGAGCGTGTATGCGCATGTAATGTCGAATGCAGTTGGTTTTAACGTGGGGCGGGAGGGGTGTAATACACAAACACCGAGGTGCCCGCGAGAGGGTATATATACCTGATGAAGGTCGAGTCGGCGGCTGGGCTGGAGGGAGCGGGCGAGGAGCTCGCCGTCGAGGCCGTGGTGTTGGTTTCCTCCACCTCCATCATCTCTCATGCCGAACTGCACCTCGAACCCGGATATGCCTGTATGTGTATCAGGTACTAAACAACGTGTCCAGATGTCACTGATACCCTATATATATTATATATTATATATGTATATAAGCAGATATCAGGTGTATACCCGAACGAGCAGGTGGTACTTGTACGCGTAGGAGCTGCGCAACAATATCAACACACGCGCACACGCGCACGGGAGGAAACAACGGCGTCGCGGTTCGGGAAAATCCTCGCGCCCGCTGCGCTCAACCCTTGCTACACGTCCCCCCTTTTCAAATACTAATCGCAAGTTGGCTCTGGCGCGTCTCGTGTGTAAATATATATATTATGTACTCGGTGGGGGTCGGCTGTACTTTGGCGATGAGCTGCAGCGCGGAGCCGACCGCGAACGCGGGCTCACCGGAGACGACTGGACTCGGGGGGGCGGGGGGTTGTGGGGTCATGTGTGTATGCTGGAAGGCGCGCAGCCGCCGAGGGAGCTTGCGGCTTGTCCATTGTGTAACGCGTGTGTATATATATACCTGTGGTGGAACAGGGGAGGGGGTTGGTGGGTGTGCGGCGAGCCACCCCCGCGCATGTCCTTCCTGATGGGTACGTGGACACGTTCAAGGCTGACGGAGCTTGGCGCGACGCAGTTTCGAGCCGGCCCGGGGGTTTGTGGAAATGTGTACTTGGATTTGGATTACAATGTATAGTGTGGAGGAAAAAGCACAAAAGCAGGGCTGGATAACACGAGTACCTGGGCCCATCTTTGACACCTTAAATTTTGCAATTTTTTTTTTTTTTTTAGTGAAAAAAGAAAAAAAAATGTTTTTGTGTTTGAAATTTTAAAAGTCGAAGGTGCATTACCATTGCAAACAAAAAAGGTTGTGGCTCAAAACTTGCTGCCATGGCACTGTTTCAGAATAAGTACGTCACAATCTGTTATTTCGACTGTCGGCGCTGTAGTGCGCGTGCAGATTGCAGTGCGAGCCGATCGATCGTTGTTTTATATTTTCGTTTTTTTTTTCTTTCTTTTTTTAGATGCAGTTTGGTGCATTTTGCTTGACGTTGAAGAGCTTGACTACTTTTTTTTTTTTTTTTAACTTACGGCCTTCATTTTTCAGGACATATTCATGCGAGATCTCGTGAAGTTAAAAAAGTTGAAACAGCTGCAGTTGGCGATTATTAAAAGCATTTTCAGGATTACAACTTACGACTTGCACGATGAAAATTGACTGTAAAGATAAAGTTATTCATCCGATTAAATCTCAGTCGAATGAAATTCACTCGAATTACGTTGGGACACTTGTTTACGCACGTAATTTTCAATATATTTGGCCCTCACTCCGATTAATAATTTTTTTTCTCACTATTGATTAGTGACTTTATGGGTGGTTTTACTTTTCGATTAAGCTTCTGTGTGGAAACTTTTGTACTTACACCTAAAATACAAGTATTGGGGTGTTAGTGGTTGAGGAACTTTTTAAGTGAAACATTCTAACGTTATCAAAATTAATTAATATTTATTGATTCTTCGGTATTAGATGAGATGTTCTTGAACCTTCTGCTTTTTCGCGTTTTTCTCGCCCTCCGAATCACTATTTTTGTTCGAATCGTTTTGTTGCTTCCAAGTCACCTGAGACATAAAATCAAATTAATTTTTCGTATATTTCGTATGTAATTTTTTTATACAAATAGGAATTAGAAAAGTTGCATTGAAATTGTTGGCACTAGTAATAAAGAAACTCAATGGTGATGCGTTATAAAATGTTTATTGTAGTTATGTTGCTGAATTTAGATTCGTTTTCTAAAATATGACTCACACAAGCATTTCAAACTCAACGATCAAAGACCAACAGAATATACTGTTAAATAATTTTGTATATAAATATTTATATACAGCAAGACAATTGTATAAACGTTTTAGGAAGACTTATAAAAATGTTTTGCATGTTTTAACACGCTAATATATCGTAACAACTCATCTGCGAAGTATTTCAGATATGCATGAATTTGCAATACGATCTATACTGTATGTGTACTAAGTGTATCATCATTATTGTGCGCATTTTTTGAAAACTGGATTTACTGAATGATAAAATATTCCGAAACTCAAACGAACTCCTTAAAAATTAGTATTAATTTGGTATTAACGATGAAATAGTTAGTTGAATATTAATTTAAAAAGTTTTCATAAAAAATTTGACTAGAAAAAAGTGACTATGAATTTCTATTTAAATTCATTATACTTAAACAGTAGAAACAACTCGCATTTTGTATGATACAAAATGACGTACAAAAGTTTCTGCCACCAACAGAGGGAAGACTAGAGATGCCTCAGCATAGACCTGGAAACGAAAAATTTCGACTTAGTGTTAATTTAAAATTAGTTGCGTTAGATGGATCAATGTATTAAATATTACCTTAACGGCTTTTGAATCCTTTCTTATTTTCCCCCATGACACAGCCTCATCTGGCCGCGCCCCGCTATCGCTGCCGTCAAATTCTTGCGCTGTGTTTAAAAATACTCCGAAATCAGCACCATTTCTCTGAAATTAAGTTTTGTTTATTAAAAATTTCACAACTCACGAGGTGACATTTTGGTTACACATACCATTAAATTTGCATTACATATGTGATGTTTAACAATTCCACCGCCAATTATAATTACTCCACTTCTGATGGCTTTCATGGCTATCGTATTTAGTCTCCTTAGGTCCGAAACAATATCGACCACAAGTCCAGGATTTTTAAACGAATGAAAGTACATCATATCACCCAAACTTCCATCAGTCAATGCAGGACTGAAAACCGGAATTTTATTTTTAGCTGCCCAGTAATAGATGGACTCTCTGTTGTTTATTTCCTCCCCTAGCCTTGCAATAACTTTTGATGGAGTCCACAGAGTACCCTGATAATAAAATTTTCCGGTAAGCGTGCATTTACAGGTGTATTTTTACTTTTATCAAGTCTTACCTTTTTCTGTTCTTCCAACATTTTGTCCAAAATTGGCATGACCCAATCTTCAAACAGACAGTAGTTATCATTTGGCACCAACAAATTGCCGATCCTATTGATTCCCTTGTCCCTCAAAGTTTTTCCGTCCAAATGAAAATCACCCAAGTACGTAGGAGCCAAGCACTTGATGAAATCTTCCTCGATTCCTCCAGCAGACGCCACAATACAATCAACCTGAAAAAATCATTGAAACAATCATTCATAACACTGCCAAAGTTGTTTCCCACATCGATCCAACACTTGCCATTCTGTGCTCTGCCAGATACCTAATGGTATCCCTAACACCACAGGAGGCCATGTTAGAGGTGTAACCAAGGAATATCGTACAACCGTGTCTCCTTCTGATAAACTCGTCCTCCTCAAAAGTGTCCTCCTGCTCCTCCTCCAGCGGTATCCTCCGAGCTACCAGCATCCTGAGTATTTCCTCGACAGCCAGGCCGAAATTAGTAGCCTGAAAGCCAGAGTGCTTGTAACTCCTGAACAGCTCCGAGTAGTTGATCCCGTTGTTGAAATCGTAGCCTTTGACAGTAGGCATGGTAGAGGGAAGGGGAACGCTGGGCTTCAGCACATTGTTCAGCAGAGATTCAGGCACTTCTCCGTTGCTCCTCGTCTTGGCAACCGGTTCTTTTTGCATGTCGCCGGCCTCGGCACCAACAACAGTCTTCTCACAATCGGTTTCCGACTCGCACTTCTGTGAGCCCTCCCGCGTGCTTTTGTTGGCCCTTTTGGACCGCTTTTTCCTCTTGGCCCCCTTTTTCGCACCCTCGGCCTCCCTGTCACTCTTCTCCGAATCCTCGTGCGCCTCCTGCTGCAACTTTGCGTCCGACTTTGAGTACTCGGAGTCATATTCCTCCTCTTTGGTTACCTTTTGGCTGGCAATGACGGTTGATTTTTCAGCTTCCATTGTGTCACACCGGACGGAAAAATTTTACGCGAGGAACATTGTTTTTTGCTCAAACTACTTGTATGTGCTTTTTTTTTCACGCCCACTCATACAATGTGACGAAACGTACAACAACTCGTGTCTGTAAACTTTCGGGGAAAAGGTAAATAAAGAGGTTAGGCTCTGTCGGCTGCTCCGACCCCGCAGCAGACGACAACGACGAAGACGACACCCCCTCTGACGGTCTGATGGCGAACCTCTTCAGGCTGTGTCGATGGCGCCTAATGTAAACACCTTTACATTATTCTCAATCATCTACCTGACGTTGTTACATGAATCTTGAAATATACTTACGGGCAAAACAACAATTGGAGCTGTCAAAGACCGATTGGAGCAGTCATAGATCTACTATTTAACTTTTCACCGATGTACCGATTATAAAACTAAGAAGATGTGAACCTTCGGGACAAAAAAAGAAAAAAAAATCATTATCCGAGCAACTCGATTATTTGTCGGTAACGACACGAACCGCTAGACGCAGAAAGCCTCGCGGACCGCTACCTATACGCGAGCAATTGCAAAACAGTCTCGGCAGTCTCGGCACGCCAGAGTCCATATCGAGGCCCTATAATTGCTCGACACACGAGCTGTGTAAGTCATCGAGACGACGACGAGGGGAATCTTTAATAGCCCAGTCGGGCAACGGCGAGCGACAGGTGCATCATTATACTATTTTACGCCTATATATAGGTATTCGCGTATATATGTATATATGTTATACTGACTGCAAAAAAGAAAGAGAGATCGGCTGCAAATAGGTATACATGCATACGTATATACATACGTAGAGGGAAGCCGCCATATCGGTATATATTATTGCGAGCTTCGCAGAGAAGGGGGACAAAGGCGCGAGTCTGGTTTATTGGTGCATGCTATTTTCGGATGCATCGGCAATCAAAACGAGTTTCGCGTCTTGGATAATGTCCAGTTCGCCTTTTTCACCCGTAATTTCATCGGTTTCGCGTTTTTGCGGTTTCTTGGCTCCTTGGCTTTTTTCGTACGCCCTTTCTTGTCGTCTCGTGCATCGTGATGTATACATATAGGTACTTGTACATAGAGAGAGAAAAAAATCATCGATGCACAATAAGTTAAAACACACAGCAGCAGGGATGTAAGTATATTCTGGGCAATCAGAGCTGAATTTGTGCGTACATACCTACTGTGACAATGACTCGTAACGGTCGTAATTTCCTCATTGCGCAGCGCTCCAATCTATGAGCAATTTGCTCCGATCGTTAATTTATATCCACGATATTCCTCTTGCATGTACAGCGTTTTTAACGCTATCTCGGATATCGGATGATAATTATCGGGGTTTTTTTTTTTTTACTGCCGATTAATTTGAAATCCAGTAGGTATACGAGTAATGGAAAAAAAAAAAAAAAAAAAAGTTTTATCGAATTCAACATAAGGTCTACTGGACAATATGCACTTATACGTTTTTTTCTTACGACTGTTACGACTCTAGTCGCGGAGGAGCAACTTTTGAGGTAAAGTATCGCGTGACTCATCAAGCCGATATATTTTTACTGGTAGCGGTGCTTTACGCGTGAACCATAAAAATGTCCTTTCTCCGTGAGTTTAGTGTGAGCAACTCACAACGCACGTGACGGGCGAAACGTCTCGGGATCTTTCAAATCCCCATGAGGGAAATGCTCGATGCAGTGGCCTTTATTTATATGGAGGGACGATTTCTCTGGCGATTACCAGAATAGGAACATCTTTGTCTGAAATACCGATCGATCGAGATCGAGTGTATCTACTGAACAGAGATGGAAAAGAAGAAAAATCGGTATAGCCACTCGAGAGGGTATGCAAGGATAAAAGTACGAAAGTGCGGCAACAAAATTGATTTCAACGTGAAAACACAAAAACGGATCGAACTACATCGGTATAGTGACACATCTCCGATCGATCAACCGAATAATCGCGCCAGACTTTTCGCTGGTGATGACGGCCAACCGATTCAAACTTTAGCGCCGAAAGTCGCTTTGGATTCGCCGTCTCCCCATCCGTGGCGTCAGCGCGTCGGTCACGAGCTCCGGTCACCGGCTCTGGGTAAAGCTCCGGCTCCGCGCTACACATACCCTCCGACAGTCGGTACGCGCTCGTCCCCTCGTACTGTACTCGCTTGGCTACTTTGTACCTATACATGTACTCTTCGCTCTTTGCTGTGCCTGTCCGACGAAACCATCCACACTCCGCGTCTATACCGTACACACTCTTCTCCCGTCCTTGCCAAGGAGAGCAGCGACACGATCCCTTGGCATTTCCAACAGTTCAAACCTCCGACGCACCCTCGCCAACGCACAATAGGTCGTTGTTTCATGCACGCCAGCCGAGCAGCATCAGCTACGGGCCTGCACCGTCGTGCCTCCACCAGCAAAATATCCCGCCGAGCTGACAGATAGGTGAGACAGTGTTATCGGGTGCCCATGTTGTGATCGTGTAATTTTAACACCACCTAGGTCCTTTTTTTTATACATTTTTTTTTTTATTTATTAGCGACGGTCGTGCGCGCGTCCATGGGGCGTATCGATTGCTCCACGCAGTATATACGCGGCTGTTGGGGTGGTATAAGTGCATGTACACAAATCCATCGGTGGCGTCGCGAATTCCAGTGCCGTGCGTGCTCCATACCCTCGGAAGAATATATATATATACACACTCACGTATAGGTACTACGGATGTGCGCTTCCTCTCGCTCATATGTATATATGATGAGCGCACTCTCGCGTAACTCGCTTGTCCCGCAGTTTTTTTATTTTCCTGCTTGTTGATCCTATCGCGGGCCGTGAAAAATCGTCGGGGTGTTTGTTTCCCGAGGTCGATGCACCGAGCTCTTTTATTTTTTTTTTTTTCCCTCGCTCCGCGAATAAAGCGCCGATTTCGCATCCGATTTTGTGTTTTCCATGTTGGGTTCAGTGCTCGGGATTTTTCGAGGTGAGCGCCGAGGAGCGGGTTCACCGTTACGCGTGATTATGTACACGTAATGCGTGTACGCTTTGTTTATCGTGTCTATAGATCTCTGGTCGGTGAGAAACCGATTTTCACGGGTACGGAAAGTAGCTGTGCTTGGTCTTACGTAGTGCTGCCGATTGCCACCGTAACTAAACAGTAAATAAACCGGTGTGCATTTTACTTGTACGCGATGATAACTCTATGTTTGCTTTTTCAGATTTTTACAACTGTGAATTTTCTTTTCTTTTTATCTCTCGATAACGATGATTTAATAGCAGCGGTGTGTCATCCGATCGCGATCGTTGCGCTCATTGGTCTGGTATGAAATTTTACTTGCAACGATTTTTTTCTCGCGTGCCATGAAAATCATTGTATAGGTTGTTGTATACCTTGGACTCGGAAATGCACTAAAAATAGATGATGTGCGTCGAGCTTTGGTTTACGCGGTGTGCGTGAGGTTCGCTTTCTCCGATGCATACTATTTTCCAATATAACTCTTTTTTTTTTTTTATTCACCCAAACTAATGTAGTTTTTTTTTTCTCTCTTTCGGCGGATCTTTTTCGATGAATTTATCTCGGAAGAACTTGTGACACCAACTCGTGTGGCTCATCAATGCTCGTCGAGTTTGGATTTCTGTACCTTCGGTTATCAATTTACATGGGACTTCCGGTCTGGATGTACGAGTTGCATGAGAACGTCCCAGCGTCAATTTGTATCATTTTTCAGTATTTCACACGAAAAAAGACGAAAATAATTCCGGATGCCGGAGTAATCATTTCTCGCAAAGCCGAGATAAAAATTACGCGTATCGCCGTTTTGAAAACCACAAAGAAACTTTCCCCCGTTCTCGTTCTGTCTGGCTGTAAATAACAACGCGACTTTTCGTGAATTACCGCGTGCCTTGAAAATTACTCGAGCAAATTTTCGTAACGATTTCGGAGAATACGCAACTACAACAACAACAACATTTAGTTTACGTAAGAGCAAAATCGTAAAACTTACAAACAATAAAATACTTTTATGATCCAATAAAATTACAGATATGAATGGAATGCCAGGCAACATTGATTGAAAACGTTTTTTTTTTTTTTTTTAATCAGAGGAATGATTTTTTTTTTTCCAATGCTAAAGGCCTGTTAAATATATTTTGTTGTGGAAATGTGGGTATGTCGAGTAAATTATTTACTTAAGCTGCGGAGTATCTTCTATTTCAGGAGGCAAAGTTGAATTATTTAAACCTACAGCAAAGACAATACGAAGTCAATTGTATACCAGGTACCAGCCTTGAGCCAAATCTCACTCGCGTTATTTTAACTCCTTAGCTATACGAGCGATCTCCGTTGAGCGCGAAACAAGTAATGATTTATTCATGCAAAAAAAAAGAAAAAAAAAAAAGGCAGTGGCGAATCGCTTTTATTAAAACTGTTTCGTGTTCAACATTCGACCAACACATTTGCAGGTTTAACTGGAGCGTTGAACTGTGTCGTTTAATTGGCGAAACTAATTTCATCGGGCGGATCAAAATATTTTTAAACCTCAACATTTAATCTTGTTGCCCCGTTTTCATTTAACTGAAACGCTTCCCTCCCAACGTTGTTTACTCTATACTTGGAAAAAGCAATAAACATTGAAAAAATGAAAACAAAATAATCTTATAATTTTCTAAGGAAAAAAAAAAAAAAAAACTTTCCTTGCAAGCATATGCAATTTCACACTCACACGCTTGTATTGTTCAACGATAAAAGTAGTAATCAACTGTACCGAGGGTATCAGTGAAAAGTGGGGTGTTAATGAATCACAGAGACCAGTAAACGTACAAAACATAATTAAAATCTTACATCTCGCCAATGACCCGATGGAAGAAAAAAAAAGTAAATCCAACAAACGCGTCCATACGGAGTCTAGAAGTATGAGGTCGTCCAAGATAAGAAAAAAAAGGCCCGAATCGTCGCAGTCAACGTTAGGGCACATCAATGAGGTGCGCTTGATCTTGGAACGGGCAATCGCGAACTATTTTGGTCAGAGGCGCGCATCAGGGGGACTCGACAATGCTTTTCATCACTCGCCGACTCGCACGGCTCGAGACGATATCTTTCAACTCGAACGCCCGAATTTATCAATTTCACCCTTCGTTCGCGGTATCCAAATATTGGGACAGATTGCCTTATGCGTGACATTCGTGCGTGCGCTGTGCGCAAAGGTAAATCGTTCACGCCTGGCTGATCGCGTCATAATCGAGATAAAAAAAAAACCAACACCTGATCTCTTCCCCCCCTTTTTTCTGTAAATATCAATTTATTCGTGATTTGAATAACAAAAGCGCACGCGTAGACGCTTTCTCGGTTGCGTCAAACACCATGTGTTGAGTACATTAGAGACGCAATTTTGTAGTTTACTTTACTAAGCTTGCGCTCGATAATCCGGAGATTAGGTCAAGTGATGGAAAAATCCCGGATGGGCCCGAGAGAGGTGTGGAGAACGATCGGACACCATTACCTTCAACCTTAGGATTAATATTCTGTGCTTTAAACGACTTAACGATTTACCAATTCAAATTTTTCGAAATTTAGTTTATCATTAAAACATGTATGTATATATGTACCGCAAAACGCAACATATGGGTATGATTTGCAATCAAGGAGAGATTAGTCCCAAAAAACACAAATAATAGTAATGTCATACAAAACTATCGAAATCCGTTCATTATACCGTTGGATGAGTCGAGGGCAATTAGGTACGTGATAAATCTGGTATTTGAAAAGTTATAGGGAAAATGATGAATCTTTTTATTTTTGTTCAAAAAAATACGAGCATTATAAATATATAAAAAAAAAAAAAACGTAGTGAAACGACATGAAAGTAAGCTCGCGCACGTGCCTCGAGAGCAAGAATTTCTATGCCATACAGATAAGTAAAAAGCACTATCTGCAACGTACGCCGTAAGGCACTACATTTCTTTATCCGAAAGCGGTGTCGGAGCAGTGAGTGAACAATGTAATCGTGTATATTTAACGTAACATATGCCCCCCCCCCCTTATCTACCTTGTTGCAGGAGCACAGCAGCGGCGCAATTCAGAGAGCAGCGTAAGTCGAGGGAGGTTCTCCAGTCGTCGGCAACGCGAGTCACTCCCGGAAACGCGGAAGTAAAACCACACGGCCAAGAGATGCCGATAACGAAGATCTGTTGCATCGGGGCCGGCTACGTAGGCGGGCCGACCTGCAGCGTGATAGCCCTCAAGTGCCCCCACATCCGGGTGACGGTGGTCGACAAGTGCAGCGAGCGCATATCCCAATGGAACTCAACGAAGCTGCCCATCTACGAGCCCGGCCTCGACGACGTCGTCCAACGCTGCCGCGGCAGGAATCTCTTCTTCTCCACCGACATCGCGCAGGTGTGTGTCCGGGTGCACGATTGCATACCGATAACCGATACTTGTCCCCAATTTTATTATTTAAACGGGAATCATCCGTGATTCGTCGCAAAGTACTGTTAAAAAAATCGCCGATCGACCGTATATATATGGTACCAAATGTATTGATCGTAGGCAATCGAGGAGGCGGAGCTGATCTTCATTTCGGTGAACACGCCGACAAAGACCTTCGGCAACGGCAAGGGCCGGGCTGCCGATTTGAAGCACGTCGAGAGCGCGGCGCGGATGATAGCCGAGATAGCCGCTGGTGACAAGATTGTCGTCGAGAAGAGCACCGTACCGGTGCGCGCGGCGGAGAGTATCATGAAAATACTGAGGGCCAACCACAAACCTGGTGTCTCCTATCAGGTGCGTATGCGAGGACAACTGGGACCTTTTTTACGTGATACAATAAGGTACAAGGTGTACGTTACTTACTACTCGGGCTCTTTGACATTTTTCACTTTTGGTGTTTCTTAATTTCAGTATAAAGAAAAAAACACCTTAAATGCACGACTAACTCGGTACTCTTTAATTATCACGTAAATCTGTAAAATTGACACCAACATCGGTATCCCTAGTCGCTCTAATCTTGGAATAATCCTTAACGATTTAAATATTCTCTACCGATCGGTAAGAGGAAAAATATTCCAAAATCGCGTGTAACGTGTACCGAGCTGGTGGGACCGGATTCCTTGTAGCCTTTTTGCGCTCGTCTTACCCTTTCGAGCAGCTAAACGACGAGGTCTCGTATCTTTCTTCCTCTCAGTTGTTCAGAGTTGTTTTTAGATCCTGTCGAATCCGGAGTTCCTGGCCGAGGGCACGGCCATCAAAGACCTGATCAACGCCGACCGGGTCCTGATCGGCGGCGAGGAGACACCCGAGGGTCAAGCTGCGATAGAGAAGCTCAGCCAGGTGTACGAGAACTGGATACCCAGGAGGAACATACTCACGACCAACACTTGGAGCTCGGAGCTCTCAAAATTGGTAATTAATATCTCGATGCTCGAATGACGTGGTGTATATGTATATGCACATTGTGGAAGCAACGGTGACTTTTTTTTTTTTCTTCGATCCCACAGGCAGCCAACGCTTTCCTGGCCCAGAGGATATCGAGCATAAACGCGCTGTCGGCGATCTGCGAGTCGACGGGGGCCGATATTTCCGAGGTCGCCCGAGCCATAGGCGGAGACACGCGCATCGGCCCGAAATTCTTGGAGGCGTCCATCGGCTTCGGGGGCTCTTGCTTCCAGAAGGACATACTCAATCTCGTTTACATCGCCGAGTGCCTCAACTTGAAGCAGGTCGCTCTTTACTGGCAGACCGTCATTGACATGAACGAGTACCAAAAGACCAGGTTTACGAACAAGGTTGGGGCTGTTGTAAAAAAAAAACTGTTTTTTTTTTTTTTTTTTTTTTTTGTTGATCGGTAAGTTTACGGTAATGTGTCGTTGCGCAGGTGATCGAGTCCCTCTTCAACACCGTCTCGGACAAGAAAATCTCGATGCTCGGCTTTGCCTTTAAGAAGAACACGGGAGACACGCGCGAGTCGCCAGCCATCGATGTGGCCAAGGCCCTGTTGGACGAGGGAGCCAAGTTACACATTTACGATCCAAAGGTGCGCGCACACGCGTTTGATATCGAGCGATGCCTATCGATTTCGTAATCGGTCGATGGTATCGTTTTCTGTATCAATAATGTTATCGGTGCTTTGAGATCGATTGTGATTGAAATGTCGATATGTACCGCAAGTGGTAAAACCGTTGTTGGGTTTCAGGTGGAGGACGCCCAGATTTTCTTGGACCTGACTCATCCGCGAGTGACGTCGGATCCAGAATACGTCGTTAGCAGAGTCAGTATTTACAAGGACGCGTACAGCGCCACGAAAAACACTCATGCGATCGTCCTCTGCACCGAGTGGGACGAGTTCGGGGTGAGTGGCGTAGAAGGGAAAATTTCTCACGTAAGACTTGAGAACAGAAAAGTACAACCGATCTTGTGTTTTTTTTTTTTTTTTTTTTTTCTAGGAGTTGGATTACAGAAGGATCTATGCGGAAATGATGAAACCTGCGTACATATTCGACGGCAGGAAAATCCTCGATCACGATAAGTTGATGAAAATCGGTTTCATCGTGCAAACGATCGGTAAGAGATTGACGAGAACTGCGGTATCGCGGGCTTGGGGGAGTCAGACGCAGATGTAAAAAAAAAAAGAAAAAATAGGAAAGATAAGAAAAAAAAAAAATTTATTGAAATTATAGTATTGTTAACTACAAGAGATTGTTGTTCGAAAAAATAAATATACACATAATAACTGTACATTCAGCGCGTTTTTTATGGTACGTAACTGCCATCGTTTAGATTATCATACGTACTTTTTACGAAAATTATCGTAGGGACATATCTTGTACGAATAATTTATCGATATTTTTTCTCTCACTAAGCGTACGTAAAATATTTTATACATATTTTTAAAAAAACGACTTGTGTCGTTGAGTTTTTATCGATGTTAGTTCTTTTGTAGTACTTTTTTTTATGACTCCGATTATCATTTTTCTTGCGTTGCACTCAAACGACGGTAATATATAGTTGTTAACGAAAATGATACGCAAGCTTTGATGTAACTAATATGCAAATATACAACTATATATGCCATCACGCCAATGGAAATTCATTTTTTTTAAATAATCATAATTTTTTTTATAGAATACACTCGACAGCGTGTAACGCTTACTTGTATACTTACATGATAAATATTATTAAGTGCTAATGTAATAACGCCACAAATTGTATAACGGATATAATAGTAATAAGGAACAAATTAAAAAAAAAAAAAATAAAAAAAAATAAATAAATAATAATGAGAAAAAAATGCACGCACCCAGTGTCTGAGGCGTGCATGAAAAAACGGTGCTAGTTAACTAAGTCGAAAAACTGACACAATAATACTTTGTGAAGTCCCCAATATCCCCGCGTTACATTGTAATAACACACACACACACACACACGCACACACACACACACACACACACACACACACATATATATATA